GTGTTAAGTTAACACGCTTTTTTCAGTGTGAACATAGCTTTATATAGTCGTCACATAAGAAAAGAGAAAGAGAAGAGGAAGAGAGAGAGATATATGGTCAAGGTCAGCACATTAAGGAAGACGTTATATAAAGAAAAGAAGCGAAGGGAAGTGAAGTGTAACGGTGAAAATCGTTACATAGTCCACCATATTATCATCGAATTAGTTTTAATTCTTGCTTTCATTTTCTTTTCCATATTTGAGATCATTTATCAAAATTTATTATATTTTTCTTTTCAGATAAAGATGTATATAAATAATCTTCCACATTATGTTTTATATAATATATGTAAATATTTATCTTTCATTGATATTATAAACTTATCAAAAACATGCAAACAATTATATATTTTAATCGAAAAAGATAATTATTTTTGGATGATATTAATTCAAAATCATTTTGGATCGAAATTATATCAACGTTATGTTAATGAAATATTTCAAAACAAGAAAAATTCCAATTATGTTTTATATCGTACAGAAAAAGATATACGAAAATTTGAAAAATATTTTCGAAGATATTCAGAATTTCAAATGTGTAATATTTGGTTATTGAATGTATTAAATAGTAAAGATAATAGTGATGGTTATATAGCTCATAAAAGTATAGTTGAACAAAACCAACGTCCACGTACAAATGAATTAAAAATGTCTTTAACAATTGAAGAATTATTTGAATCTTATTTCAATAAAAATAAATATTTAAATAAAGAAAATATTCTACAAATATCAATATATAAATTAATTTATTTTTATTTCATTGAATCTAAACGTTTATTAGGTGTTGATTTATTTGCAATAGATCTATCTTGTACACGAAATCATAGACATTGTCCCGTCCAAAAATATCTCAATCATGAATATGATTCAAATAGTTTAACAGGTCGATGTGTCCGCTTATATTCAATTCGATCGGGATATCTAGCTGGTATAAAAGGAAAATTTAAATCAATATTACCTGGAATCTATGAAATTATATGTCGTATTAAATTGGATAAGAACAATGAATATTTAACATATTATAATGAACGTTGTAGTAGAAATCATGCATTAGAAAAAAATGTGGAAGGTTATTTTTATGCATTAGCTGATTATGGTCTTGATTGTGAATGCGATGGAAAAAAAATGAATTTTGATTGGTTTGAATCAAACTATTTATTACATGGTAATACTAATTGGTATAATGAAACGATGGGTAAAATAAAAGTATTCGAATTATCGGATATTTATTTTGGATTTCGAATTAAATTAGATTATGGTTATCGCAATATTTTATTTGACTACATACAATTAAATATTATTGAATAATATATTTTGTTGTTTTTTACAATATAAAATTGAATTGTTTAATAATTATTATAAATTTCAATTATCTTGGTTCTTTTCATAACTGTTTAATATTACATGAATTTCCAGAATTTAGAAAGTTTCCTTTTTATCATACAAGTACAGATTTTACTCACTGAAAATGAGAGAGATTGTCGAAACCGATGTAGTGTGAAGTGAATTTTTGGTAACTGCGCTTAAGAAAAAGCGTCTGATGCAACTCTATGATAGTTACAATATGGAACATGATGAAACTGCTTGTGTTGTAAATAAGAAGGTTTAGCAACATGTCTTTCTGTTTTGTAAACGACTCTATGCTGTTTATACGTTCATGATAAAAATGCTGTCAATATCTCCGATAAAACAGTAAGAATGCAAATGCTCACTTTATAAATAACATATCAATAAAATTTGTAGGAAGTTCTCTATTTTTCAGCTTGTTCTCTACTCAAACGTGATTAAAAAAACCTATTCCAACACATTATATTACTCTGTCGTACCTTCTATTGAAACACAATGATTTCATGCTTCTTAAGAAATATCAATAGAAAGAAAATATATCGATGAAGACAATCATGAATTAATATTAAATAAAAGGACATACTATATGAAAAAGTAGATTGCCGTCACCAGATGTTTATTTTATCTAGATTTTAACAACAGAGAGTTATTTAGTTCCTATACGATATATATTTTATTTTTCGTTTGCATATTAATAAAGAAATAATTATTAATACTCCTTATTCTCTATATGTAGCTAGAGTAGCACAACTAGTTTTATATTTAAAAATATTTCTCGAATTTTTCAATTATTAAAAAATCTCATCTATTATTAAAACATAAACAATGTCAAACTAAAACAAACATTTTCTTTTAATTCGATTAAAATTTTTATTAGAAATAGAAATATTTATTTTGATAAATTAAGTTTCAAACATATCTTTGACATAATGAATGGCATTTATTGTTTAAGTTAGATTTTCAAGCATGTACCTATCGATTTCTAATGTTATATCAGTAGGAGAATAAACTTATCTTTTATAAAGTGAAGTAGAAAATGTTCAGTATGACAATTAGGATTATTAAAATCTTTTTTAATAAGACTGATCAATTCTTTTTTATTGATAATAGTTAGAATATTGAAAGTAAATATTTCGTTAAGAATTGTTTATTTAATGTTTGTTTATTAAGTGTTGAAATCATTTCAATACGATAACAAACAATTTATTCGAATAAATATAATTCATAGACATATACTTATATAAGATATTATTCAATTAATAAAACCAATAAAATATCATTTTCATCTCAATTTATTCCTTCAAGTCTACAAAGAATTTTTAATGATAATAACAAGAATTTATTTCGTTCTAATAAATTCTCGGAATTAGTACATGTTGATTTAACAAAAAAAATGACTTGTAACTGATCTACGATCTATAAGAACAAATAAATAATGTATTTGTATGACTTTTCCAAAAAATAACTATAAATACAAATTGATCATGTGTTATTATTCATGTTATATATTCAACATATAATTCATAATGATATATATTAAATAAGATTTAAGATTATAATAGGCGTGTTAGATGAAAAACCTAACTTCACAAGGATACATCCAATTCTAACGCTATCTGGGGTTTAAGGGTTTCAGATCATGCTCTTTCTTTTGTCTAACGAACACTTTTCTCCAAAATGCTCGGAAGTATGTTTTCTAGAAAACCATGGTTTTTGGATTCACTGGTCAACAAAAATGCTTTTTTCTGAAAAATCAAGAAATGATGGAGCATTTCTAATTACATGGCTGTATTCAGCAGGAAATGGGCTACATTTT